TATTCGGTGTATAACTTCCTCCCGTGAGCTCCACAAACCTCATTCAAACTTCCGTAGTTTTCGAACGATTTTCAGGGTTTTTTTTTCGATGTCTGCCCTTTTTGCTTTTGTTACATCTCACTGATTCGTGTCATTTGGCATCGCCAATAAACTGAAAAGCTATTCACGAAATAGCAATTGCACCAGCTTTATCTTTCGCTCTAAAATTTTATGTGACTGTTGCGTTTCTTTTACCTGGACGCACTCGTTTAGATTAGATGTAACATTCAAAAAAATTGATGAAACAACGTGTATTAAAACAAGAAGGGAGCTGAAAGGTACACATCTACATTCCCCCAAAATAAACTGAACTAAACTAAGCGTTACAGTCTGCGTAGATAAGCGCTATTACAGTTCAGCGATTTCGGGGGATCTTGCATGCTGTATCATCAGACGACTGGAAATTATGATGGTAGGTTACACGACCTAGAAGACGTCTGGAGGCTGAGTTAATCTTTCAGATGACTTTGAGCATCTTCTATCCATTGATCTTCTTGATACGTAGCTTTAATCGCGGCAAGATAACATGAACCAATTACATCTCGGGAACACAACAATTACAATCTTTAATTCAGCGATTATACTAGGTTTAATGAGTACTCTTACGGGTCGGATGCATAATTACGGAAAAATACTAGCTTAAAACGCATCTCATGCAGCCGTCCAGGAATATGAACGTTTAAACAAACCAAACTCCGAACCAAAACGAGCAGGAACAAACTGAAGTCAAGCGTAATCTCCATGTAGCGCCTGTTAACTCAAAAAAGGTCGCTTTAAGACATTCGCACTGCGTCTGCAGTGACTAGCTCCAAACGAAGTGCACTTCTGAGCGCTTGATGCTTCCGGCCCCTGGAGCGGCCAATCACAGGTCGATTCACAGAGGACCTCAAGTGACGACTGCCGACCAGACATCACTTTCGATACCGTCCACTGGCTTTCGGTTGTGCGGTCGTCTGAGAGTCAATTTCCTACTGCCAATTCTCCCATTCCTTCTGTACAGAATAAACTCCTCCTACCACTATGGCTTCCCATGACTTATTTTCTCCTTAGGAACCTGGCCTGAAGCTCGCAGTTGCCAGAGTTTAACTTACTTAACTCCCTATGGTACGTCCATATCTATGCACGTGTGTGGGCTGCTTTAAGCATTTTGAGAGACAAAAGTTGTGAGTTCGTCAAATTGAAATTTGTCGTCCTCAGGTGAATGATGATGTTGAAACACTGGCACAATGGGGTTTGCAGATGCTGACGGCTCATCCGTTCAGCATGTTTCATATCCGCGTTGCGAGAGTGGAGGTTTTCACGACAAAAGTTAAACTAACTAGTCTTGACACCCAAAGCACGAGATATTCCATCCAAACAAGTTGGTGAACGGTGAGGACGTAATTTCAAATCATGTCGCCCGTACCGTTTTCCAAGGCCAACCCGTCGTAAGGCAATGTGAATTTTGTTTCCTAGGCTCATCAGCTCTACATCAAACACTGATCTTCGTCAATTCGCCTGAAAATGAACTGCAATGTTGAGGTGTATTGGCAGGAGTAAATCCTTACATAAAGTTAAGTGCTCTGGAAGTTTGGACTCGTGGTGAAAACTTGGAAGGGAATTATCTTAGTTGTGTGGTTGCAGCCCTTTTCAAAATAAAAAAAACTAACTCCAAGTAGCGAAACCTAAATCCCAAATTCGTCAATGCTCACCCTGGCATTAGAAGGCAGCCTTAAGTCGGGCAGCACAGTCAGTCGATGAGTTCCTCCAAAATCTGCTGCTTCTCCAAGTAGCAGTCAAGCAAAGTAATTTGGCAGACGTCAGTAAACAAAACATTTATCAGGCTAGGGTTTGCTTGCTGCGAGGACTACTGATTTTTGGAATTAGCGCTGTGGTATTTGCTTTTAAAACACCGCAAACCACAGCTGTTAGTTGAGTGAACTAGTGTAGGTCCTGCCCCATCTTAGCTCGCAAAGGGCACATATTTCTGTTTGACTAACTGCCCTACAGAGAGCACAAGCAAACGTAAAATTTTCAGACTAAAGATGCAGTAGGTAGTGTACCTCGTAATATATTATTTGCATGGCTGGACTAGGATTTCTTTAAACAAATATTTGATGGAGTTGCGCTTTAACGATTTATAATAAACAGCATGGTGTCAAGATACTTCAGTAAACTCAGGATGGTGGTTCTTAAATGCAAGTCTTGCAAAGTGGCTGTGAAATTCACCGGCATCCAGAATGACAGAAGGGATCGGTTACCTGGTTCCCCTGCAGGAAGCGAAAATAAGAGTTACCTGTAAGAAAGTTGACTCTGCGTTTAATTCCACCAAAAACAAGGTTATGGTTACGTTGAGAGATAGGGTTGAGAATATGGAAAGACTTAGTTCTCCTGGAATTCGGCATAAGACCACCTGTGTGAGCGTTTCCTACGGGAAGGGGGACAGCTAGGTTATTCCGACCGAAACGACCGCTTAGGTAGTGCGATTTGTTAGCAGTCCATTTTAACACCCAAATACACATTATGGCGATTGCTGCATGCAATACCACCAACGTTGTGCGAAAACCCTTGTAGTTCGCAGGGCTTTTACCCCATGGACGCACAATTGATAATACGTTAAAGGAACAATAACTTTTATTCGCAGTATCATTTATTAAGCGAGGACTAATTTTTTTTATCGAAAACTGTCAAATCGAAAAAAAGGACTGTACGACAGGTCAAGTACTTCAGTCCTTAAATAACTGACACTAATGTAGGAAAAAAAGATAAAAGTACAAAATAAGGAAAAGTAATAAATATGTAACATACTAATATTCCGCGGATTGTCCTTCAGCGTTCAAAACAGCGGTAAGTCGGGGGGGGGGCATAGAAACAATTGTGTTGTACAATTATTAAGCACAAACTCAAGCTTCTGCTCCACTGACATACGTTTCGCTGGCTTCTCCCAGTTTCTCTCGATTAATGTAAATATATTTTCAATGGGACTAAGGTTCGGAGAGTTTGGAGGAATAAAAATGGCCCGCAGGCATAATTTCTAGCGTTTTCAGTGTTTTCATATGTTCATCCACCGATTGAGGTTCCGTTAAATGTTCATACAAAAATCTTTAAAATAAGATAAACACCAAGAGCATGTACCGAAAAAAGTGAATTCTTGGACACTAGTTCTTATGAAAATGGGCATGTAGATCACAGTTAGGAATGCCTCAAAACAGCAAACCACAATAACGACCATAAAGGACGTCCGCAGCATAACACTGATATTGTTTATCTAAGATTAGTAAAAAAACTTTCTATAATAGGTTACCTCTTTAAGAAGTGGTTTAATTGGATATTGAGCTGATGAATGTCTGTGTTTATTACCTTTTCCCAAGGTAATTTCAAAAGGAAATTGGAGACTTTTGACAATTTTTTTTAATTTGCCTGAAGATCAACGATTCAATTTGACTGGAAATGAAAGAACTTACCTTTCTCTTTATAATGGATTATTTTCCACCATAATGAATGACGTCCAGGATCTGTTATAAGCTTGCGGATGCAAAAAGAGTGGCCATATGCATAGTCATTTTTTGAAATAATAATTATTTTTCTGTCTGTCCAGTTTCTAAATAATGCATAAGCGGAAAGTATAGTTTGCAAAAAGTTTGTTTCTGCATGACTTGCATTTACTAAGGCCTGTTTTAGATTACTCTCACGGTAAAATATATGGACAGTTTGCTTACTCGCCATTAAGGCGATGCGGCAAAACAAAATGCGAAGAAAACTTTTTGTTAATGCATTTTGTGCGATTAAAGTTCACACGTTAGCTTAACATAATTTTTAAAACATAAATCGCTCCTTCTTTCTGAATATGGCCTCACTTGCATATGAACAATTTCGGACAACATTTTCCGGTTCTGCACAATGCATATCAATCAAGAGTTTAATTCTGTCCTACTTTGTAGCATAGGAAATTTCTTTGATATAAACTTACTCACGATTTAGCCAAAATTAGTGCCAATTTCGCTCCATAACCGTAACTTAGAGGGCAGTCTTTCGAACTAAAGCTTTTCTTATAATTAAATCCACTCAGTTGTTCAAAATAATCAAGTTACATTTCGTCATGTAAGGTGCATACAGGACTTGCCATACTGTACTTTATAAAATGGTCGACTAAAGTAGTATTTTCTAGCCACATTTTATAGTGATCTACGGGTTTTTTTAAAGATGTCTTACCCAAACGACAAATTTCCTCCAAATTATCAAAAGGCTTTTAAATTTCTAATAAGCTAAAGCTGTGCAGTTAACATTTAAGAAAATGCGTACATGAAAAAATATAATTGTACACTTTCTAAAGCAAAAAACTAAACTTTTCAGGATTATTAATTTGATACATCAACTAATTTCTATTTTTTTACTTCAAATTGAAGCTGGTGGTGAGGGAAAGGATTGTAGGCAGCTTGCTCTCAGCGTGCTCTCAGCGTTCAGGTAAGTTGGTATTTTTGACGCCGTTTTGCGAATTTGCCCATGTACTGCACTTAATGCTAGGCAAGGAGTTCAGTGGATAAGTCCATCACTAACAGCCATATAATTCCTCAGTAAATCCAAAATTGCGTCCAGTCTCACTGTTTACCCCAGTTAATAGGCCATATCCAGTCACGGACTTCATACTGAAAAAGTTGTTAAACTAATCACAAGACCGGGAAAATAAATAAACAGCAGTTAATCGTGAGTTGGGTTACTGCTTTTAAGCAAGTAACAAGACGTATAATAAAGATTAATGTTGCTTTTAATAATGCAACCATCAAACAGGATATGTTTTCGAGCGTCACATTCTACTCTGCGGGCAAACACCGAAATGTTACGCGCTTGTTTCGCCCTAAGCTATGCGACATTAGCCATTGGTCAGAATTACTATCGTGTGGCCTTGACGCACGAATCGGCGGCCTTGACTTTTTAGGTTCTGCGTCGAGAGCCGTGTGCGGGGAAGGCGCCGTAAAATCTGCATGACTCCACTTGTGGAGCTCTTTTTAAAGACCTCGTCTTCGGATGTCGGAGACCGAGGCTCCTGTCCACTGTCACAAAAGTGGTTCATGGTATTTTACCTGCTGGTGGAACGGCATGCTGTCAGTCTGCGCATTATTCCCGTATGTCCGGCGAATCCGCCCAGCATCTACTCCGAGCTAGTTACCGACAGGCGTCTTCCCGCCGTGGCCATCTACGATGAACACGATGAAGGGAAGATCACAACGATGCCAACTGCCGTCTACGCTGGCAACGATGAACTGGAGGACCTGATGCGTCAACGATTCAGCGTGTACGTCAACGTCGACACCGAGGTGCAGTGGGTCAGCTGCAACCTTCTGCGAAACCTGAACAGTCTTCTACTGACGGGACAGACTCGCGCACTCCTTTCGGA